TCATAACGTGTGTAAAAAAAGCTTCTCCATCTGGCTTCACAATCAACACTCGTTCTGCAACAACTCTCATTCAAATTTTTCTTATCCAAACATTTTTTAATAAGCTTTTTTTATCTCAACTGAGATTGGAGTCTCCCAAACCTCAGTTAAAAAATAATCCAAACATGCACGATAATTGCATGAGGTGAGCTATAGCCAAAAAAACATTGATTATAGGTTGGGCCCACTGCAAGGAGTTGGAAATTTACAATTTCTAACCCTAAGTTTACTAAAATTGGATTTTGATTTGCATATTTTGATTTTAATTTTTTTTTCATTTTTGTTTGGTTTTTAAAATTGAACCAGTTCAATTTTGCCGATTTTGACCGGTTCATTTAAAAGTTGGTTTTAAGTTTATACTAGACTGGACTAATAGCCGGTTTCTGGTTAAGTTAGCATGTCCTTTTAAAATCATGGATTTTATAATATATGAGATAAGATAAAGATAAAATAAGATACGATTTGAATTTGAATTCGATTCAAATAAATCAGTCCACGGATCCTCCTATGCTCTCATGAATTCGGAATTGAATTCCGTCCCCTTTTCAATTAATGTGTGGCATCCTCATTTTAATGTCCTCTCTCTTACTGCTCAGTGATGACCAATGGTTTCTAATATGTCCTTCAGTCATTTTTTTTATTTTTAATTTTGCCTTCTGCCTCTTTTTTACTCGCTGTCAAAAAATCATGTAATATATTCTCTTCTACCTTCACATGGAGAATGGTCCTTCGCCATGAACTTGAGCATCATTGCAGGGAGATGAAGCTAGAAACCCAGGTGATTGATTATCACTTGAAAACCCTGATGCAGAGAAGATCGTTTTTTGTGAGAACATAGAGAAATTTATGACAGAATTCATTGTACAGAATCAGAAGCAGTAAAGCAGATACGATTCCTTGCTTGTCCTTGTCGTACGTGAAGGAAGAAGAAAAATCTGAAATGAAAATGCGATAAGAAATTGAGGTTGATGAGTTGTCAAAAGATCAAAAGATGGAAACTTTGGCTACAGTAGTCTACGCAGACCTTGTGTATGTATACTACAAAAAGGCAGAGCCTCCTATGAACAAAGTTGTAAAGAGATCACCGTTCATTTCAATTGGCTCGGTAATTTGCGATTGCAAGCCATCATTTCAAATGTGAGATGTTAACGTTCATGCGAATTATTAGAGTGTCATCTCGTTCAATCCTCTTCCAACAAAACCATTTCTGTAAGGAAAATACTTTAAGGAAGAGAGAATGCTTGTGGATTGAAAGTACTGAACAATAATTAGTTTATTTGATTTGAGTTTTTTATGAGAAATTTGAGAAGATACATTATGGGGTGAAATTATTCAAGAAAAGGGATCAAAATCTTTTAGGTTAATTAAAGTTGTATTTAATTCAATTGAAGGACCTTGATTCTTTTTTTAAAAAATATTTTTAATCTCATGTTCCTTCTTCCCAATTTCTACTATTTTTATTTGGCATGATAAACTAGTAAATGGCATTATTCTTTCCAGAATACAATGATGTTTCTTCAATTACTTTGCTATAATCGTGATACAAATGGTTTACTGATTAAGCTATCTTCTTTCCTCCTGTTTGCTAAAATTTAGACAAGAGAAAATTGTTGCAGTATAAAGGTAAATCGTGAGCTATTTGAGTCGTGCTGGAGGACACTATCCTTAAAAAGTATTCCAGCACACTGGTATAGTAGACTGATAGTTTCTCAGAATTAAATAAGCACGTCCTACAAAACGCAAGGACATAGAAGAGCAGACACCAACAAATTTAGATGAAGGAGGAGAACACAATGGAGGAGGAAAGAAAGCCTCGAATGCTCAAGAGCCTAGCACCCCATTTTGTTTGCACCGATGGCTATATATAAGCCAAAGGTAGAGACGTGAACATTGGGCTCATAATCATTGGATTAAACACCATTAAGTCTCGGTTACATAAACATAAAGCAGCTTAAATCTTTAATTACACACGCACGCATTACTTTTGGAGCCGTTTGGAGACAAACACATAATGGACTTGATTAATGTAAATTCGTTTAAGAGTCTGTTAAATGCCAAAAAATGTTTAAGGTTGAATTCAAATTTCAAATAGCTAAAAATTAAGATTTTCTGGTAAGCTCCAAAAATAAATAATTATTTATCTCTTGTAAAAATAAGTCGGTAAAAGGAACCAAATACTTCTTAAACTCACAAGCAGAGAAGGTGAATTGGCTATTTTCAATTGCAATTGTCCTGAGTCGGCTTGCTTTGTGCATGCGAGCCCACTTCTCCTCTAAACCCATTTTACTAGCCTATTTCATTTATTAATATTTATACACTAGGATCAATCTTCATTTAAGCAACGTGTGACTTCTTTTGACACACACACATTCAATTACTCCAACATGGATTAGATCATAGGGGTTAGACCTATCTTTGGCCCCTGCTGGTTACATTCATCCATGGATATGGTATTTGTAAAGTATGAAAATAAATTTCTTGTGTAATTATATTTGTTGATCAGTATAGACATTTTCTCTTGCATTGTACAAATTTTAAAGTGAATCATGCTATTTATGAGATTTATTCCAATGTATGGTGGATTGATTTATAAGAGTGAGAAGGAAAAGGAAAAAGAGAAAGAGAAAAATGGGGCTAAAAAAGGAAAAATTTGAACATGGATTCCTCGATCAGATGTAATTTCAATTAAAGCTTTTAAAATTATAAAGTATTATTGTACACATAAAAGATTGAAATGAAATTAAAAAGTTAACTAAAATAAATTTATTATTTTTGATGAAACTAAGTATATGAATAACTCGTGTATAAAAATTATTAAATGATATATAAAAATAAATAATTAACATAAATAAAAGTTGCAAATTTTAATGACAGCAAAACACCACTATAGAACCATAGCTGAAATTTTGCCTTAAAAAAAAAAAAAAAGTAGTGGCGGAGGCTCAAGGCATCATAGCCCTACTTAAAGATGCAGCACCATGGGCTATAGAGAATGGGATTTCTTTTAAATTTAAAAAAGAGAGAGAGTGACATTGTGATAATTCAAACATACCGAGGATCAATGTATACATATTTTTTGTTTGTTCATGGACATCTTTTTATTAAAAACAATTTTATTTGATATATGATTATTCAATCAAATATTAAATATAAATATAATATAATATTTTTTTATCATTTACAAGTATACTCTTATTAAATATAATATTATTTGAAATACTGTTAAATATTAAATATAAATATCCTTTATGAGTACAGAACTCTTTTCATTTAGATTTAACTTCCGTTAGTGACTTAGAAGTTGAGAACTAGAGGTGTCCCCACCGCAGTGGTTCAATACTGATGGTACAGTACAGATGGTCTATGGGCCAGTCCCACGTTATCAGAACTAGGCCTCACTTAAATCAATAGTACATCGTTGGTGTTAATTTTAAATATGTGGGGGCTGTGCACCCAAAATAAATAAACAAGGGGAAGATTTAAGTGCTTAATTTTATATATTTAATAAATATTTATTTAATTAAATTAAATATATTTTAATGTATTAATAATATTAATAACATAAAAATGTAATAGAATAAAAAAATGTAAAATATCAATATATCTTAATTTAATCAGAAACAAGCACTTTTGATACATCAAATTAAAAATAAATTATATAGAGTAAAAAATATGTGAAGTTGATGAAGTTTAGTTTTTTTTTAAATATATTATTTTTTATACTTTATAAAGATATTGAAATAGAAAAATATCAAAAGAGGAAAACTTCATATGAATTCGAGAATTTCAATCTCTCTCTCTCTCTTTGTTTTTTTTAACGTTTTGCTTGTGGACCAAAAGATTTGGCATCCACATGTTTCATATCACTAGACATTTGTAGCTAGGCTTTGTGGTACAATGGCACCCCTTGCCCATGTGAGGATCTCTGGCATCGAAACATGTATATTTTGAATATTGGCAAGTCATAACGCTGACCAGCTAGATACCCTTTCCCACCAATGTACTTAGCAATAACTTAAAACTTACTCGCTTTCTAATACTTAAATCCTGCTAAAATATTTAGCAAAGGATTGAATGAATTAAAAAAAACTGTACAAAAGCTTTTCTTTCGATCAAGTTATATTATTCAGAACTCAAATATATAATGTGAATTTTGCAAGTTTTATATTAAATTTAAATTTAAATTTGTAATTGCCTTCTATCATTTGTAATATAAACATGCTGTCATTACCAATAAATATTTTTACACACAAATATGAGGTCAAAAATAAATAATATAAACATACTCCTTGTTAAAAAATACAAGATATTTTTTGAGAAGTTGAATGTTAAAAAATATAAAGTATTTTTAATCTGTTGAGGTATAATCATTACTTCTTTTTTTTAAAGTATCCCTGTTAACAGTAATTTCATATTTATTACAAAATATTTAATAAAAATAAATATAAAAAGATAATATTAATTTTAAAATAGACAACTATTTTATTAAAATAAATTTTAATTAAAAATATTTTATATTTATAAAAGAAAGAAGTATAACTTATTATTTTGAATATTTTAAATAAAAGTAGTTGTCTTTTCACTTGAACGGTCTGTAAAGGAAAGACAATTTAATGCTTGAAAATTAGTTCAGTAACTTACTTTCCCATAGCATTTGACCCAAAAAAGAAATATTAAAAACAGCTTCGGTTTCCTCCATCGAATTTCTAGACCTGATCAGTAAAGTAAAATCATGTGGAATCCGCTACGCTTGAAAATTTCAAATGGGATGGTAATACTTGAATTTGAGATCGCAGGAACAACCAACAACACATGATCATTCAGTGCCAATTTCTATAATATATATATATATTTACACACATGCATATAATTTAATACCACACCAATATTTTTAGAAATGTAAACGGTACTAATACTCTTCATATTGCTTGTAAATTTAAAGTACGAGAGAGTAAACAAAATAAAAGCATGAATATGGATACCCTTTATTAGACAGAAAGTTCAGGGGGAAGCCAAAGAAAGCAACAATATTAATCCCACATATACGAGACAGCGTACTGCCACAACATATTGGCCACATATATGGGAAATGGGACGTAATTAATAACACAATACATGACGCGGGAGCGCCACAATATATAGAGAATAATAACAATAATTAAAGGACTCATTTGGACAGACCTTCCTGGGTCTTCCTGAAAAGCTTGTGCTGAATATGTTGAGCAAAGGTGCGAGGTGGGAAGCGAGCCGGCTCGTCATCCGTCACCAGCTCCGGAAGCGGCTTCAGAATGATCTTCTCCTTCGGAGGCTCGCAGAACACGGCCCACGATATTCTCACCTTCTCCTTGTTCACCAATCCCCTGTGCAGAATACTCTTGTACTTGCCGTTGCTCAGGATCTCGATCGTGTCGCCGATGTGCATGAAGATGGAATTGGGCACGCATTTCGCGGTCACCCATTGGCCGTTGTAGAAAAGTTGCAGGCCCGGCACCATATTGTGGAGCAAGAAGGTGAGCGAACTCACATCGGTGTGGGCTTCAACCCCGAGAGCCAGCTCCGGCTGCGGACATGTTGGGTAGTAATTGATCTTCATCTGAAGCAGAAGCTCCTCCATCCCACCGACCTCCTCCTCGAATCTCCCTTTCTCTAACCCCAATCCAAGTGACAGCGCCCCCAGAATCTTCGTCGCTAGCCCTCTCAGTTGCCTCGCGTACTCGCTCGTCACCTCGCTGCAATCATTCTCTGTTAATTAATAAACTTCCAGATTTCAGAGGGAGGTAGGGGGGAAGAGAGGGGAGAGTGAAACTGACATGTAATCGGAAGGGGTTCTGGGCCAGATGGAGAGGTCGCGCTTGTCCTCGGGGAAGACGAGGTGGAAGAAGTAGTCTTCCCACTCGAGCCGGCCGCTGGCATTGTTGGCGAGCTTGCTTCCGTAGCCTTGAATCTTGCCGGAGGCCTGATCGTTGGCGTACTTCTCTTTTTCCTCGATGGGGAGAGAGAAGAAGGTCTCGCCTGCTTTCCTAAGGCGGCTCAACAGCTCCTCCGGGATCCCATGGTTCACCAGGTTCATGACGCCCCATTCCTGAGCAGCTCTCTTCAGGGTCTCGTGGCACCTGGCCCGGACAACTTCATCTTCCGACTCTATCTCCGTCAGGTCAATGGTCGGAACTTCTGGGCCCTCCTTCTTTTCCTCTTCGAATACGTTGCCGATGTTGGTAAGCTCTTCTTGAGGTCTCACGTACTCCTTGGGGATGGATTTAATCCCGCTACTTGCCAAGCTCTCGACTCTGGTAGCCGCCGCTGCCGCCGTAGTCACCATATTTACCGATCTCTCTAGCTAGATCCCTGGCAGAATATGAACCTCTCAGTAGTGCTCGCCTATATTGTGGCTGATTATGATGCAGTAAATTAATGTGATCTGTCTGGTGCCCGACTTCGTATGATTTATATAACGCGTTAGAGAGGCGATAGAGCGTGTATCAAAATCGTAATCAATTACCAAACTCTACACTACCCGCCAAATCATCACGTGGCTATCTTTTTCTACCTGACGTCCAGGCGGTCAATTATCGTGCAGGGTTGACTGGAAGGTTGAAGCTTGGGATCATACACCTCCTTTCAGTGCCTAACCTTCGCCTTCTCTATCTTTTCCGTTAACGGTATTTTTTTTATTATAATTAATTAGTTATCACATTTCCATTGCCCTGCTCCTCGTATCACGCACGTACTGTCATCAAATTAATTAATTTTGATACATACTTCAGATTTAATAGTTTGTAAATAAAAGTATAAATTGAGTTAATGTGATTAATATTATAATTTGACGTCAGCAATAATTCAAAACTATAATAAAACCATAATAGATGGGACAAAACCATAGTTAGCCTAAAAAGCTAAGCCTGTCGAGAGAAGCCGTGGGTAGCTCTCCGTTTTCTACCCGCGTAGCATTCAATTCAATTGGACATGTTAGGTTTGTACTTGCGGCTACTCAGATCAACAAGGCGTCTGTCACATTGCCTTTTCATTAAGGGAGAACTGATCAGTATTAAGGAACAGAGGAGGATCGAAAATTAGCCCTGTATTTAGATGAGCAGCATGGTACCATAACATCCCAAGTCATCTAAACATGCCAAATATTTAAAAATTTGAATTGATAATTTTTAATAATATATATATTTATTTATTTACAGAATGACAGTTTTTTTTTGCCAGATTACAGAATGACAGTTAAGATATTATTTTTATATTAAACTCTGCGCCTATTAAAATTTTAAATTATTAAAAAGATGAAAGAAAAATTATGTTAAATCTAGACCGTCCAATTTTAAATGGATGGCAGATCTAGACTTGGTGGTCATCACTTCAAACTGAATCTGAAAAATTAGTTAGTAATGATGATGATGAGTTTAAATTAAATTTGATCTTTAGATAAATAAATCATTTTACATACTCATTCCATTAAAAAATGTAAGGTATTTTTTAAAAAGTTAAATGTTTAAAAATGTAAGATATTTTTAGTCTTTCAAAATATAATCATTGCATTTTTTTTCAAAAGTGTCCCTATTAATAATAACTTTATATTTATTGTGGGGTATTTAATAGAAGTAAATATAAAAAAATAATATTAGTTGAAAAATATATAAATATTTTATTAAAATGTGAGATTCAATTAAAAATACCTTATATTTATTAACGGAGGGAGCACTATTATAAGAATAAATAAAGCAAAAAAATAAGCATCCTCTCGTCATATTTTATTTTTTGTTGCGTTATACTCATTCATGAAACCCCCCCCTCCCCAAAAAGAAGAATAATAAAAATAAAAGGCCACCGTCTTGAGCTTCCTTTTAATTAAGGGCATACCTTGTTTTGGTAATCAAAAAAGCAATTGAGATTTTTTGAAAGTTCCGAGAGGAGAAACCAAAAAGAAAAGAAGGGCATTTCTAGCCTCTCAATTTGCATTACCAGCCACAAAACTGCATTGCTTGTTATCACCACTCATCACCGCGCTTCTAGAAGCGAGGCAGAATACTAATAACTTGTGCGAGTTCTGACGTAGCTGGGAGAAAAATCTAAGCAAAAGTGGGTTCGATCCCAGAACGCGAAAGATACCTGATAATTTAAAAAAAATAAAAATAAAAATATCGATCTAAAGATTTAAAATTTAATTTTCAGTTATAAATATATATTTAAGTATTAAATACAATTCTTAAATTATAATTAAAATTATTATTTATTATTGTTGAAATTGATATTTACAACTCATTTTTTAAAATTTTTTTTATCAAAAATTTAATTGTCATTAATTCAAACTTTTGAAACCTAACCCATAAAGCACCGGCACTTCAAATTATATCATGTATCCGTATCAGTAATATATCCAATACCGATACTAGTCAATGCTTCTTCAATACATATGAATAGAATATTGAAATATTATTTTTTAATTTTAAAAAAATATAATTTTCTATGCATATCTAATATTTTTAAATTGTGAATTAATACTTTAAAGCTAATACTTCAAAAATATTTTTAAAAATATTAAATTTTATTGACTATTGTGATATTCATTTTTTTGTTGTTTCTAATTTATTTTTTTGATTTGCTTTTGAAGTCAAATATTAGATTTTCCTTAAAAAAAGTTTTACATGTAATAAAAGAATAAAAATTATATTTTTAATTATAAAAATGTAGGTTTTGGCATATAAACTCTACAGCCCTGTTTGGTACGCAGGCCTTAATTTAAAGGGATTGAAATTGGGATTGGAATTGGAGTTGAAATTTAGGTTTAAAAAGTATGTTTGGTATGAAGTAATATTTAGATAGAATACTTGAAATAAATTTATTTTATAATCAATCAAAAATTATCAAAAGACAAAAATGACCCTTATAATTGAAAAAGAAAATATAAAGGCTCGACAGATCTGGAACTCTATCTTTAACATGAACCAGATTTGAGAAAGTGTTTTGTTTTCACAAATGTAGCCATGAGTTCAAAAATAGATCAAAGGTGGAAATAGAAAGGTGAGCGAGAGAGGAAGCCTGCATAAGGAGTTTTACCTTGATAGGTTGGGGTAAGAATAAGTAGAGGTATTGGGTCGTGCAGAGAAGTGAGAGGGGAGGATGGTGGAGTGATTGAAGCAATACCAAATGGAAGTAAATTGATTTCTTTAGAGGGCACAATGGCGCTTGGACTTTGCTATTTGGCAGATTTAAGGTCTTCATTATCCCGTATCTAGCGATTAGAATTCATTTGGTCAGAGTTTCAGATCTCATCTTCAATCTCTTCAACTTTACCGGCGGTGTCGGTGGAGGAGAGGTCAGTGTCGGGGTCAGCACTTGACGGAGTGGAAGGCAGAGGGTGAGAGGCTTGATGAAGATGCTTAATTGAGTGGAAAGCAAAGAGAGAGGTGAGGAAAAGAGGATGGGGGCATTTTAGTCTAGAAATAATCAATTTTGAGATTAACTTTAGTGGGATTAAGTAATACCAAGGAGATGGTGGATTTCAATATTGCCACCTAAGTGGGATTAAATAATCTCAAGTATTGGTGAATGCTTCATACCAAACATGTAAAAAGTGAGATTACTCTAATTCAATCCTAGTTCCACCCTTCCAATACTGCATACCATAGAAGACATAAATATGAAACTATTAGCAAAGATTGGACTATAGGCAATTAGGTAGAGATAAAATATAAGTATAAGTAATGATTATGTTTTGCTTCATATTACTATGAAGAACTATGTATGCTGGGTTGGATATTTTTTAAATTAAAATTATATTTTAATGTTTTTATAATTTTTTTATAAATATATTTGCACGTATCAAAAATGTGTTGTATCCTATATTTTTAAAAATAAAAGTATCAATGTATCACATATATCAATATCTGTGCAATATAACTCAAAATATCATTTTCCAAAAATATAGCACCATGTAATCCATACTCTGGCTATTATTATAAAACATTTTTAATTATTTTTCTAGAATTAAGAAATAATATTTAATTCATTAAATATATTTTAAAATAAAAATAATTTCACTTAGACGAAAAATATGAAGAGAGAAAGAAATATATAATGTACAATGAATCATAAAATTAAATTTATAATAGAGATAAAATTAAATAAAATTAAATTTATAATAGAGATAAAATTAAAAAAATAATAATAAATAACTCTCCACATGCTTTATAATAGGAACCATAAATAGGAACAAGAGGAAGTATAAAATATTAAAATACTGACTAGCTATATTATTATTTTTAATTAGGCATGGCAGTATAATTAGGATTATTCATATTGAAGGACCTTTGTTTGAATTGACTGAGGAGGTTGAATCAATTTATTATATGGTCCCGAGTTTAAGTTTTGTAATATGCAATTACGTTAATTAAAAATATCAAAAGCATTCCTGAGATATATCCATGCAACCAACATTGATATGGCTGTCCCACATAATGAAGGTCTAGATTAATCTGGATGCGTGTTGGTAATACTCCAAGTTGTCTGAGATACCAAGCGGTAAAATAAGAAAAAAGAATTATTTGCGACAACCAATGAGGAACATCAATTATGCACGAGAATATTATTCCTGAGATAAGCATAATTTATTTTTAAAATTTCATGCGCAAATTAAACTTATTAAATTAGAGTGAAATATCACAAAAATATGAATTTTTCAGACACATGAATTTCAGAATTCAGATTGATGAAATAAACAGGTTGCCCTTTGCGCACTGATGAAGCTGAACGTGTGATGGAATTAATTTAGTTAAAATTCAGAAATTTGGGACACAGTGCGATAGCGACGAGGGCGGAGGGCTCTAGACGCCGGACCATGGTTGTGTCGAGGTGATATGCGTGGAAGTCAATCTCACTCACATGCATGCGTTTCCCTGGCTTAAAAAATATAAAATACTTTTAACAGAATTTTACTTTTTAATAAAATAATTAATTATTTTTAAATTATATAATTTTTTTATGTTTATCTTTATTTAATAAAATATTTTACTTTAAATTAAATATAAAATAATTTATTTATTAGGGACAATAAAAAAATACAATTACATTTTAAAATGTTGAAAATTTTTATATTTTTAACATTCAACTCTTAAAAAATATGCTTTAAAAGAAGTATTATTTTTCTTTTAAAAAAATAAGTATTAGGTATTTAATTAATTTAATTTAATTTAATTTATTTATACCAACTCAAGGTTAGTTGGTAATTTAAGTCAAGTTTGATTGATCAGTTTGAACTCACCTAAAAAAAATTAAACCTAAATTTAATTAAATAATTTTTTTTAAAAAATATAATATTTAAAATTCAATTTAAATAAATCAGGTTGAATTGAGCTTAATTTGAATAAATTTTATCAATCTAAGTTAGTGGCTCTAGCTCTATGCTTATGAAT